ACAAAGTAACAAATAGTGACATGTTGAATAGAACACAGAACAAAGAACTCCATTAACTGATGGGAGGCCACAAAGATGCAAGTGTTCTCTATAAAATATAGGGAAGGCTGGGAGAGAGCTCAATAGTTCTGTAATCTAGATTAGTGGTCCCCAACCTTTTTTCAACTGCATACCGGTGTGGAGGGCATGGTATGCTCGTGCAGGGGCGTGGCACATTCACGGGGTTGTGGTGCGCCTGCAGGGGGTTGGAGTGTGCATGCACACAGTGGCGCTCACACGCATGCATACAGCGTGCTCACAGCAGGGGGGCAGGAGATCTAGCCATGGACTGCTCCCATGTCGTGGACCAGGTGTTGGGGACCCCTGATCTAGATGATGAACACATTGCTCCCAACCCTACATGGCAATGCCAGAAAGGATCTATGCTCAGAAACCATGGTTTGAAATGATTTGAAAATCATGGTTTGTGTTATGATTTTAGCATGATATTTGAATTAACAAAGCATAATTATATCCAATAATTCACCTTCAGTACTGAATTTACAGAAGGGAATGCTGGGCAGAGAAAGAGCTCTAACTCACAATTCATCTGCCTGCTGAAGTCATGTGCTTTAGGTGTTAAACTGCAACCAGTCAAAAGCATCACATCTACACTGAGCCAATCTCCTTCCAAAAAAGGAAACTGAAAGTGTGAAATAGTCTGTATAGTTTAAAAATGCTAACATGAGAGATATATCTGTTGTTTAATCAAAGTGCTGTTAACATGTTTTTAAGAACAGATAGAAGCTTTGTTACATGATCTATATGAGCGGAATATAAAACACAGCCTCATGAATAAAATCCAAGGATAATTCAATCTATATTTCACTTTTACAGCCATCTATTTCATGTCTAAACCAACATTAGAAAGAAAGCTGTCTCCCATGAGAATGAGATTCTCTCATCTGCGAAACTGATTATTACTGTCCCAAATAGACATGGGCACTCCGTATTTGTTTCCCAGGCTCTGCATGGTGTTCGGCTCCGTCGTCATCATCATCCCAATTGCAGAAGGAGCTCAGCTGGTTCTTTCCCACCTCCCTGCACAGCCAACCACTCATTGGCTGAGAGGAGAGACTTGTTGTCCCGCCTCCACGCCCAAGTGGTCCAGTGTAGAGGTGTGAAGGGAAGAGCGAGCTGGGCCTTCTGCAACTGGTGCAATGACAGCGGACCAAGCACTATGTGGAATCCCGTAAGTGTAGCTGAATTAGCAGTCAGTAACATTCCATATTATAGCGCAGATTCTCTTGGGTTTGGTGATGTGTTACCCTGTTTCCCAGAGTTAGAAGGCTCACACTGAACGCTATAAAAGGTTTCCTGATATCACATAGAAATATATCCCCTTCTGATTTTAATGTTCTCATATGGCAGAAGAGAAACAAGGGCACATTATAGCAACAGGACAGTGGTTATTTTATATCCTGTGAACATCAAGAAGCAACAAAGAAAATATGTAAGTAAATGCATTCATCTGTTTATTAAAGCTTTTCTTACATGCTACAGCTGGAAAGATGACAAGGACTAATTCAGACTTAGTGCTAGTTTGGCACCAGAGGAGAAAGCCTGTGCTTACAGTATATGCTCTCTTCTCCCTGTCTCTTTCCGAGTCAGTTGCATGCTCTTTAAAACACTATGTACCGTATTTTTCAGTTTATAACATGCCCATTCATAAGACACACACCCCCTTTTCTAACCCATAAATTAAGAAAACTTAGCTTTGAGTGTTCAGCCTCTGGGCTCAGAACATCGGATATTTTGAGTCCCTGTTGAATTTGAGCCTTTGGAACACGCTCCAAAGAGCTGTGTTCCAATTGGTTTGTACAGCATCAGCTGTCATCAGTTCCATAAGTCTTGTGATTGGAGGAAGCTAAGTCTCCTGAATGTAGGAAGCTAAGCCTTGTGACTAAAAGAAGCCTTTTTACAGAGGCAAGGTATGTGCTGTTTTGTTCTTTCCTCAGCTATGTCAACTTACCTCCATGTAAAAGACGCCCCTCAAATTTTAGTGTAATGGTTTTAGGGGAAAGTAGCATCTTATACACAGAAAAAATATGGTAATCTTTATGACTTCCAAGGCGGCAATCTATGGATTGAGTACTTGCCTTGTAAGCTTGTCCCACATGCCAAATGCTAACACTCATTTATAATCTTGCTTTGGAGATGCAAATATAAACCATACATTTCAAATTTTTATGCTATAGCAAAGGATGGCTTGTACAACATAGGCCTTTTGCTACATTTGAGTGCGGGGATGAATATAAGTAACAGTCTCCTTTTAAACAGTTTCATGCGGACTACATGTAAAAACATGTAAACACAGAAACAATGTTCTGTCTGTTATCTGAATGTTTGTGGCCTCTGATTAAACTCTCGCAGATAGACAATCATTGATACAGCAGCTCACTAATCAATTTTTGCCAAACATACCACTTAATCTCCCCAAGCCACTCCAAATTAGTTTTCAGACTAACCATGAATTCTTAGGCATGCAAACCAAAGGATATGCCTAAATCATGCAAAATTAACCAAGTTCTGCAGATAAAAATCTATGAAGGTTGGAAAAATTGGGATGCCAGGCAGATTTTGCTCCGCTGTTTTGAGCAAGCCATTCTGAGACCAAAAATTGAGTTAACCCTCTTTTCATCAAGTTTGTTTTAGGAGGAACCAGACACTGAAATCTCATCCACACACTATAATCTGACACTCCCTCAATGCTTTCCATCACACAGTTGCTTTGCATCACACCTTCATGGCCTTTCCCCCACTCTCCCCACCCTTTAGAGTATGACAAGGGAGCCACAATGGAATAAGAAAATTTCCTAAAGAGACTAATAACTGAGCCCAGCCATTTAAGAAAACAAGAAACGAAAACTATTTTGTGTACTTCTCCCGGCAGATCTGAACAGCCTACTGCTAAAATGTGAATGCCTTCCAGACTAATATTTCATGATATTATTGAGCTGAGAAAAACTAAAGTTTTCCTTATCAGATATGAGATGCTATAAATTGATTGTGTAGTGCAATACTGTACACATTCCCACATATTTGTACCTTCACCAGTAACCACTGTACAGTGGTGCCTTGTATAACGAGCGCCCCGTTTAACGAAGAAATTGCATAGCGATGGCTTTTTTGCCATCGCTTTTGCGATCACACTACGATCTTGCCTATGGGGAAAAATCGTTTTGCGGCGGGTGGGATCCAAACCCGGGATGCCTGAAAGGCATCCCAATCCCACCACCCTCTCAGCCTGCCCCCACAGCTTGGATCCAAGCCGTGGGGGGTCGCTGGGAGCGGACACCCGGCGATGGCTGGGGTCGCCGCGGTGGGTCAGACCCAAGCCGCGGGGGGAGGGAGAAAACCGGATAATCCATTCCAATTGGAACGGATTAACCGGTCTTCAATGCATTCCCATGGGAAATGGTGCTTCACATAACGATGTTTTCACATAACTTTTTTTCGGAACCAATTAACATCGTTATGCGAGGCACCACTGTACTTCTCAATGTGTAAATGATGAAATATGATGCATCCAAAGTGATACAATGGAAATATAAAAGTCAACAACAGTCAACTGCTGCTTTAGTATCAATGCTAGCTGGATAGCTCAGTGACTTCAGTACAGTGGTGCCTCGCTTTACGATTGCCCCACATTATGACAAATCTGCTTTACGACGATCTTTTTGCGATCACAATTGCGATCGCAAAGCAATGGTCTAAATGGGGGAATTTTGCTTTGCAATGATCGGTTCCTTGCTTCGGGAACCTATTCTTCACAAAATGACGTTTATCTAATAGCTGATCGGCGGTTTCAAAATGGCCACCGGGTAATTAAAACGGCTCCCCGCTGTGTTTAGGGACGGATTCCTCGCTATACAGGCAGCGAAAATGGCCGCTGTATGGAGGATCTTTGCACGACTGTGAGTTTTTACCCCACTGGAACACACTGAACGAGTTTCAATGCGTTTCAATGGGTTTTTTTAATTTCGTTTTACGATGTTTTCGCTTAACAGCGATTTTCCTGGAACGGATTATCGTCGTTAAGTGAGGCACCACTGTATCTGGCTGCAGAGCCGGAAGTTGGGAAGTTCAATCCCTCACTGTGCCTCCTGGGAGAAGAGCCAGCCTGTCTAGCCTTGAGTGAGTTGTACAGTCCCAGGGCATCCCCAGAAGAAGAGACTAGTAGATCACTTCTGTGTATTCTCTACGTAGAAAACCCTGGAAAGGGTCACCATAAGTTGGAACTGACTTGACAAGATACAATTATTAAACATGGAGTTAATAACAGTAATTTTAAACATGTTGCAGATGTGTCCAAAGTGATGTCATCATCAAACAAGACCAAATGAAGTGGTTCAGAATCAGCAATAGTTTATACAACAACATTTTCTCAATGAACAAACATGACACTACTGTTGAGGAAAAAACAACACTGCAAAATATTCCATGCTAGGTCTGCATAATTTAAGAGGGCAAGATAGTTTAACGGTATACATACAATACATAATGTAAGCAAATAGAGAGCGCCATTTAAGGAGCAGGAAGTCATTGTGATGGCCACACAATTGCATAGAAAACCAATCATCTGTATCATTCCCCTTCTCAATGAAAAGAATTCTGTCACTCCACTGCCTCCCGGATTTCCAGCTGGGTGCACATATGTGGCAAAATTTCCCTTGCCATGTGTCCCGTGAAACTGACACACCGATTCTTAATCAAGCTTTTGACTATGGAGAGAGTCAGTGATGCTGGACTAAATGGACCTGAACTTCTTCCTCAGGAAGAAAACAGTTCTACCTACTAAAAGTGAGGGGCGGGGAATGTTGCCAAATACATAGAACTCAAAGTTTTCCTTCTTGTCACACATACTGCTCAAGCAGCGATGCAATGTGATTCACAAAAGGGGAAAGGGAAACAGGAAAAACAAGAACCAAGACAATCCCATTTGGCAAGAAGAGACTTACCATTCACACCTTTGAGACTCCCATTAATGCCATCACCATGTTGCCTCTTTTGCGCATTCTTGAATTCCTTTAGGGATAAATAAAGGACTTTTCGTACCACCCTCTCCTCCGACCATGGAATTCCATCACTATCATCCTATGAGGGCAAGAGAAAAATACAGGAGAAACTTACTTAAATATTGAGAAACTTGAAATGAACACATGTACAAGCACACCATGCTAGTTGACAAAATATTAGCTCTTTGGTAAGACTTTTTGGTTTTAAAGGAAGAACTCTTATGTTTGTTGTGAAGTTAAAATACCACTGTGAAGTTTCCAGGAGGAAATATGACTTGAGGGACACATCAAGTCACCCATAAAAGTGCTGCTTTCTCCATTGGGTTCAGATAGCTATTCTGTACATGCCAAGCTGTATCCCTTTGGCTCTTTTATCCACCTTCTCTGTCATCCCAAACTCTTTTTCTCTTACACTTTTCACTCCACTCTTATCATTACAAATTCTTCCACATGCCAGGCACAAGGAGCTATAGCCGCACCCACCCACCCATTAGACATCTCTCTCCCTGTTCTCCTAAAACTCATTCCTTTTGCCAAATCTTTCTTAAGACAATTCTAGGCATACCTCTCCGATGCTATCTGAAACCATCCTGAACAAAATTGGCAGTTGCTTCCTTTCCATCATGCACACAAGGGTGTTCAAGGAGCACAGGTTTCCAACCCGTCCCAAGTACAAAAATCACATGGGAAGTGGCCCTTAACCAAAGAAAAAACATTCTTCATCATGGAATGCTGAAGTTTTGCTATCCTGTTTCTGATGTTCTAGCCCCCCCCCCTGTTTTGCTGACTTTTTTGGAAAACAGTTCCCTGCCCTAGAGTTTCTCAAGGGCTGCACCACTGCCAAGTGAGAAGATTCGAGTTTTTTGGATGACCTTCATTTTGGAAAGCACAACCCAACTCACTGTCATAGTTCAGTAAGAAATCAAAACACTAGCAGCAGTGATCTGTTCCAGAGGGTAAGAACATTTGCACACTACAGTATATGGCAAATATGGTCAAGAAGATTATAACATCTTTATATATATACACAGTATACAGTACATTTGGGCAAGCCCTTATTACTTGGAGCTGAAAGCAAGCCACTGAACATTAAAACAACAAATGTTTGCTTTCAGTTCTATGACAGATTACTTGACTAGAGGAAAAAGAAAACAGGGAGCAAAATAGCAGTGATAGCAAAGCAAGTTAGCAATTTGGCAGAAGATGATCATTATGCGCTAGGGAAACACTGCCGCACTGCAAGAGCAGAAAATTATACCCCAATTGATTTGAACATGAAGCATATGCACGTTTGAGCCAAAATGACAGCATTGGCAGGAGCTTTGTCAAGGCAGGCATGCCCTGTGAAAATGTAATGTTTCCTGTTTTGCTAGATAAAACCAGCCCTGGCCAGTAGATTCATGACGGAAGAAGGGATGACACAAAAATGATAATGACGGATAGAATGACAAATAAAATACATTATCCTGTTCAAAGACCAACGGGCTGCTCTCGTGGAGTGCTGGTGGCTCAGAAGTTGAACCCATACAGGAGAAAGAGCCCGAATTGCAGCTTTTCCCAGCATCACCATCAGTCCTGGGAAGAAGCTATGAACAAGAAGGGATGATATCCCTCTTGCTTCTGTGTTGAAGAAGCAACATCACTGTCAAACCCTGGAGTTACAGAACTGAACTACAGTAGTCACAGCCTGATCACTTAGACATGCAATATCACCATGTTGTACTTCACCTGATAACAAGAGAGCTGAGAATCACAATAAATTAAAAGATCTATGAGTGCATCATGTGGAAATATCTTATTTCACAAACTATAATATTTATATTGGTACTGAATCATTCAGATAAAATAGGAAACACACAGAGCTAAATCACACTGGTAATTCCAGATAGAATTGACCCACTGAATGGGACACGGGAGAGGCCCTTCTCTGTTGCTGCTCCCAGACTCTGGAACTCCCTCCCACAAGAGACCATCCCTGCCCTTTTCCAACTGTGTCTTAATAGAAAAACTAACCTGTATAGCCTTGGATAAGCTGCACAGTTCCAGACTGCCCACGCCCCCCCCGAAAAAGGAAATGGCAAATCACTTTTTGTACTTTTATATCTAGGAAAGGCTTGCTCTTAAATCAGAATAATCTTGACATTGTGGAATTATATTCTCCAGTAAGCCATGCTTGCTATGATTGAAGAAGCATGGGGGAATGGCAACAAATTCATGCCCAAATGGATATGTGATTGGTAGAGGGGATTATATGGTCCTGCACCACACCCTTCATCCCTCAGCCATTGTTAAGTATGACATGCAGACAAGGTCAAATAGGTTATAATTTCTTTACCCTATGTTTTCCATCTTTTGTATTTTTCAGAAGGAAATACTAAATAACAAATTCTTTTGGATGTTTACTTCTGTGCAAGTGAAAGTTGTCACAACTCATTATGGTTAACTAATAAAATGCTAGGCATGTGACTGACAGACAGGTGGTACCTCATTAGTATAGCAATTTCTGTCATTCCTCTTGCATTTGTGTAAATATCCAGTAGGATTCTGGCCAGTGGAAATTAACCAACATACCAACATTCAAGAAAAGGATTTCCTTATTTCTGCTGTTTTACAGAAATAACACATTGAACATGATTAGGAGTCCCATGGTACAGTGATTAAGCTGTCGTACTACAGCCAAAACTCTGCTCAAAACCTGAGTTCAATCCCAACACACTCAGGTAGACGGCTTGAGGTAGATTCAGTCTTCCAACCTTCAGAGTTCAGTAAATTGAATGTCCAGCTTGTGCGCAGGGAAGGGGGGACAATGCGTAGCCTGCATAATTAAACTGTAAACCTCCCACAGAAAGCTTTAAGTGCTATGCGGCGCGTATAAGCAGCACATTTTGCTTTTTGCTTTGACTACCAACTACATGTTGATTTGTAGGTCTCTTCCACTCATTATCAGGGAAGGGGGATTCCAAATCCCAGAATTCTCCAGGCAAAATTCTGAGAGTTGTAGTCCACAGATAACACTTGCAGACATCTTCATTTCACTCACCTGGAGAAAGGCTGAGACCTCTTCTAGACCTTAAGTCCTGCCCCAATACATCCTGGGCAGAAGCTGCAATCGTGCTTTCCCGGGGGTGGTAGTTCTTCAGGAGGTGCCCTCCTATAGAGTTGGGCAAAGAAAGTAGCATCTGCAGGAAGCACTGCAGTGGCTTCCTCCCACAAAGCCCTGGGATAGGAAATATGGCCTAGGAGAAGAGCCAGAAAAGGCCCTAGACCAGGGGTGGGCAATTAATTTCTATAGAGGGGCCACATGAAAAATCTGAACTGTGTTTGGGGGCCGGACTAACTTTACTTAAAAAGAAAATGAAACAGTGATGTTATGATTGTTGTTATTTTAAACTTGTTAATCTTCGCAAATACTAAAGAGGTTTTTTAGTAAATATAAGCAACTGATCAACTTTAGACAAAAAGCTATAAATGGTTTTGATGTTCAAAACTGTCCGCGGGCTGGACAGGAGTGGCTCGCGGGCCGTATGTGGCTCTCGGGCCGCACTTTGCCCAGGTCTGCCCTAGCCTTTCTCCAAGTGAGTGAAATGAAGGTATCTGCAAGTATCTGTTTCTGGGATAGAATTCCCAGAACTTTGCCTGGGGAATTCTTAGAGAATTCTGATATTTTGATTCTAAGAAAAGAAAAAGAAAAAGAAAGAAAAGGACACATCTCTATTGATTTAGAAAGCCCACTGTCCTTGGAGGCAACAAATCAGGATCCCAGGTTTAGCTGTAACAGTAAGCCACCCATTTATAGTTAGTTTCACACACGTCAAATGGAGGAATGCAGTAGGGTAAAAACAAGCTGCATGTATAAACACTGTACTTGTTCACAGCACATCAAGAAAAGCCAAGAACCTTAGCTTACTTCAGGGATTACACCTCCAATGGCGAAGAGCCAACAGACAGCAGAGATGTGTAAATTCACCCAAGCCTCTCCTCCTATGTCCCCATCCCATGTGGAAGTCAGAAGGACCTTCATGAACACATCCAGCTGGACATACTTACAGCATTTCCATAGTTGGGAACTTACAGATTCACTTGTAAACATTCAACAGCTGGATAGGGTGGAGCCAATGGTAATGGAAAGTATGGGTAGGGTTTTTGTGTACAAGGTCATCCCAACCACCAATTTATTTATTTATTTATATTTATTTATTTATTCAACATTTATATCACTCATCTGGCTGTAAAGCCACTCTGGGTGGTTTACAATACCATAAAAAAAGTTAGCACTCACAACACCTGACCAAGGCTATTTCTTTGCTTGTTCCCACGAACACACCAATTATTTGTGCCACCACCAAATCATTTCTCCTTTTTAAATGATGCCATATGTTAAGGTGCAGTAAGCAGCCTTCAGGGGTCCAAAGGCCATTTTTTTACTCCTGGGCCCTGATACAGGTCCCCCGCCCCATGAAACCAGAAGCAGGCACTCTCCATTTTGTACAGACTTTCAGAAAAAATGAAGTCAAATAAAGTGCATAGAGGTTCCACATTAATTTAACAGAGAATTGCCATTCCTGGAAGCTTCCATTCTCCTTTCCCCCTGCTTCCTCAGTAACAAGTGGGTCTATTATGAATATTTCCATTCATAATTGCAAAACAATTAAACTGCATTTTAGTACCTGAGCTGGGGAATGTGGTCATCCAAGGTGCAATGCAAGTAGCCTTTTACTAGTAAACAAAAACCTTAAAATCTAATTAACTACCATAAAATCTAATTAATTGGGGGGGGGGTGAAAAGGGAAAACACAACCAATGGTGTTGTTCTACAGAGTAAAATTTGCTGATGGGATTAATTTTTAAATTACTCCTGGCACACAACGGTCAGCAGAGTTAGTGACCTACGAAAGGTACAATCCATCTTCTGGGATATCAACATCATCCATCTAACACAGAGGACACTAAAGAGGAGACTCCAGCAACAGGGATTTCTGACATATGATTGTCTTGGTTGTGGACAACTCATCATATAAAAATCATATAAATACAAGGATTACTTTCGAAGTTGAAACTGGAAGGTTGAATTGCTCAGAT